TTCTTCTTCTTTTAAATGTTATGGCTCCATCGAAATAATCAATGATTTTGACAATGTCAAGTAAAAATAACTATGTACGGTAGTTTAATATTATTATAAAAATTATACAAAAAAAATGGCGAATGCGCCAATGTCCTGTCGATTTGATATTCTCCGTAACGTCAAATGACAGTTATCTAATTTTGACATTACGTTTATCGTCAAATTGACATTTGTGTAGTACGTATGAGCTTCGTCGCGGACGCAGTCACGTAGTGTTCAACAAGTCGTGCGCCTGGTGGTAAGCGACATGCCCGTCTATAACAGTTGCAATGGCACTCAGAACTTTAAATCGCGAAGATCTTAGGAGCAATGCCACTGCGCCCGTCGCCCTAAGACATAAGTTGACAAGTTCCATGTGCCTGCAATTTCACCAGCATCATTACCCTTCAAAACCGTAACACAGTAATGCTGACATTACTGCTTGGCGGCAGAAATAGGTAAGGTGGCAGTACTTCCCTGGACGAACTCTTTCACAAGGGCTCTACTGCCTGCTGCTAAAGTAGATCGTATTTCGTGGTAGACGTGGTTCACCAAGGACGTTGACCTTTGAGAGAATGATTGGTGCCAAACCTGAAACTGCGTTCGTCCCTATATAAAACAAATTGAGAGAGTCAATTAATGGATTGTTGAGTTATTTCATAACTCAACATCGTCGCCATTTTGAACCATGAATAGAGAAAGCACTTGTGTTCTGGAATATACGATTACAGATGTAGTGGAAAAAAACACATCTGTAACGTCCTATAACTTTGTGGCAAAAGCCGTTAAAGCCTCAAATCGTTGAACGATTTTCTAATCGCCCTGTTGATAACGAGTGATAATTGATCTCTATTTTTGAAACTGTCGTTTAAGGAAAGAAGGGTATGGTCTTAGAACCTCTTGTAGTTAGATTTTTCAAAGTTACGCGTGGTTGCCGGAATGGCTAACGAAATATAAATAAGATATTTTTAACGTTTAGGGTTTGTTGTTGGTATACATGAAACATAATGACTTATTATTAGATATTTCGAAGTGGTTAAAGTCAAGATCGCTAAATGATTACGGACAATTTTGTCTAAAAAGGGTTTTGTCCCATAAAATCGGTGTCACTTTTGTCACCTTTGGCCGCATTGGCGATTGTATATCCATTATAATAATAATATCTCTATTCAAAATATTTTAAGGATTAAAATAGTACAGAGCGTTCCAAGTAAAATTTATGTGGGTACAAAATAAAACAGGCTCCCAAAATAGACCATAGCTCCAAAACTGGACAATGGCTCCAAAAGTAAACAATGGCTCCAAAACTAAACTATATGTGCCCATATATAGAACAAAACAAAATATATCACATCTAAGCATTGACTTACAATTAAATGGACGTCGGGTCCGCGCTAAAAAGTGTCCGAGCTTATAGGGCGTTAAAATCGTATACAGAGCGTCATTTACGCTTTAGTCTTCGTTTGTTCGACTGACAGCGAAGCAAGCAAAATTAGACAGATACTGCGATGACATTACAATTTAAATTCAACGCTTTAGCTTTTTCATATTCCTTTACATGTCACTACGTTTAAATAGGTTGACTTGGGACATTTTTTTCGTGGTTTGTGTATTAGACCCGTCGTCCATTTATTTGTAAGTCGATGCATCTAAGTAACTGTTTTTGAATATTGTACCCATAATAAATATTATTTGTCTTGTAACATGAAGTTAACTTTCCTGCTCTGTGTGATAATGACATTTTCATAGTTACAGCTCAAAAGTATGATATTGTGTAACGTAAAAGTATATTTATTTGAAAAATTAGAACACACCAGCAAACTAGGCACCCCGACTGATAAAATTTGGGTTTATCGGGTGTTGCCATCATGACGGCCATGTCAAAACCTGTCCCGTCGGAAATGTGGCCATTTTGATTCCTCTCCGAACGTTTTAAATTGGTCAGTAAAAATAATTTTTTGTTACAATTAATTTTTTTCTCTATGGATGACCTACAGACTTGAGTTTGGATCGGAACTTGAACTAAGAGCGTTTGCACGCTACGTCCGAATAACATCCACCCGATAAACGACTGTCCGAAATATCATATGGATTATTTTATCCGAATTTTAAACGAATACGGATCGAATACAGTGCGTATACGCACTTAGAATGTTTGACAACGCGATTTGACTTTTTCAAACGGGCCCGTCTTTTCGTTGACGGACTTCGAGAATAGTCCTCTAGGTCATTTATAGTGGGAAAAGGTAACTACGAATTTCGTGCTTCGAGAGTAAGGCTCCAGTTTTGTCCGTACAAATCGGAATTTTGTGCAAGCTTATGTTGGTTTCATACAGGTCGTTTGCGTCATTTATGCATTTCGTTATAATATACCTTAGGAATGATGTAAATTGTTCTATTTTGGGGCCAGCGCAAACCGACGGACAGAAAGGCAGAGAAGATTAAATTTATCTATGTATATTTTTTGCTATTTCTATTTTAATAAAGTATAAATTTTAATGCTCCGAGATCGCAATCTTGGAGCATATCTCTCTGCGGTATTAAGAGTCTATACAAACCCAAATTGCTTTGGTTGATTCGGCATAACAGTGAAAGTATTAAATAATCACTTTGGAAAAAAAAATGTAGTAAAATTGAGGATATAACTGATTACAATACGGGGTGAAAACACAATTCCGATACATTTTCACGATAGAACAAAACTAAAACTTACGCCGTATTCAATAGGTAATTTACATATACCAATGATTTTCTTTTTATATCAACTGAACTGAATAGAGCACGTATAGTATACAATATAAATTCTGAAATAAGGCCAGTATCCCTGCTGCTCCACCTAAGCAAAATGAACCGTATTAGTACAGGAAAAAAGTTAAATTCGGGCTGAGATAGTATAGACTCTTAAAGAGCACGCTAGAGTATACCGCAGCGGGAACTTTTAAGGCGCTAGCGGAGCGGAGGCAAATCCGAGCAACAGGGTCTCAAAACTGGTAATGGTAATTCATTAAGACCGCACAGAGGTTATGGTGCAATTGTGATAATATTTGTTATTCTGCGAAAATCTAGTTGCAATGGCTAGTTATCTCGAAAGAGTGTCAATGGAATGGCAGTGATGACACATTTTATCACTATTAATAAGGGCGCGTTTCCATTCTGTCAGTATTCACGGTTGACATGGGACCTGTAAAGGGGCCGAAACGTCGGTGTGTTTGAAAAAACAAATATACGCGATTTAAATTCGGAAAAATAGTTTCATTTCCTATGTGTAACAATCGCGAAAACCTCAAGAACTCGTCATTTAATCTTGTTGTGCTATATGTGAACAATTCCAGCCGTGGCATTTTAAAATTGCACGACCATTTGCCGTCACGTCAAAGGGAGAACGTAGTTAATCTACCATGGAAATGAAAATAAATAACATAAAATATTTTATTTGTTCATTTTAAAGGGTGCAACATCCTTTCCATCCATTTCGGCTTGTTAGGGCCTGTGTTAGGAAACATCGCTCTTCTATAATATTAATAGTAATCTTGCTCTTATATAATTTTAAGATGACAAAACAGACTACCTTAATATCTACTATAACTGGTGTTACAACTAATACAAATTTCACTAATTACAGTTATTTTTAACTTTCCAGACTAAGAATAGATTAACCTAATTGTTAATGTGTGTGAGTGCAAGTATGTGTGTATGTATCTATAGGTGTGAATGTGTACATGAGTGTCATTCATCCGATAGACGTACAATATCCAATATTGTCATACCATGTTAAATAGAATCATTTCAATTGTTTGTCTCATATATAAGAACTTACTAAAATAACAGTTGTATTATAAGTTTATATAAACATATACGTAAATTAAATTTCGATTTGTATATATTTATATTATTTATTTACATTATATATATTATGTATATACTGATATAGTATACATTTTATGTTTACTTGTTTATTTATTTATATATTTCAAACTTGTAATAATAATTGCTCAATCTCCTCATATGACTTATGCAAATCTTAATTTTTCTCTCCTTTAACTAGAAGTTTAGTCTACTAATTAAATATATATATAGTACACTACGCAATCAACTCGCCATTGAAGAGCAGAATACAAAAAAAATTGAAAGGGAAGTTGAATAGTAGATCGGTGGCTAGCCCCTGATAAGTCACTGTTCTTATCTTTAGCAGAATACCAAACGTAAAAAATCCAGCCATTGACACTATCGACATACAACTGAGATGATTTAATATTATCAGACTTGGGACCGTGGTGGTATGTCTGTGACTCCTCTTCGATGCTCTCCGCCGTCTGTCGATTTGCACTGACCCTTACTTGTTGGGTAGGCAGAATCAAGCATGCCCAAGTGCCAGTTAATTTTTCGATGAAAACGAAAATCAAGTATTTTTTATCTGTAAATAATAAATATTATTTAATAATTAAATGTTAAAAAATAT